ATATATGAAGAAAACATTTACCTAAGTCTCAATCCAGATACGACGGTAAGAAAAACAAATTGAAAGAATTCGTTTAGTTCAAATTGAAAGTTCTCTCTCGTTATTGGGAGGGGTAATTCACTATAGGGGCTTGCGCCTATAGGAAACCAGAACTCAGATCATAAAGTCCTCACAAAATGAGGGCGAAATCTCTGGGTAGTGTCTTATCTACAAACCCATCTGCCTTCCAAAATTTACCTCGGAACTTAGTTCGTTAAAACTCCCTCGCCGAATAAGAAAAGAGAGTGGAGGCCGAGGCCGAATTTTCGGAGCCCACAATAATGAGAGCTTTTATAAGGTTCATATAAATGAAAAGAGGATGCATAATCATTAACATAATCATAATATTATCTATAATGACGACCTTACATAACAAAATAAGCATAAGATTCATCCACATGAATTGCCAAAATAAGCATAAGATTCATCCAATGTGTATGCACGAAGGAATCAGAGGTGATGCGGACAATTTTTTTTGGGGTTCAAAACATTTTTTATCCCAACTCTCATAGCAATAGTGTTCAGCATGCAAAAAAGAGGAGAGACCAATCTCAACCATGAAAAGTGTTATCGGAATCAAAATGTAAAGAGGATGCATTAACATAAAGAAAAATTGGCAAGGAAACCAATATAGTAGGCACAAAAACAAAGGTAATTTGCAACTAAAGTAGGAAAGGACAAAAAAATTGAGAGATGTAATCAGCTTTTAGGACTTATGTAGAGCGATCGAAGCAAATATTTTTGGCTCCAGCACCACTTGATGTGAATATGGAAGCATTTAATATTGATGATGCCTTGGCGGAGAAAGTGGAGGAATTGGTCATTGGGAGAGATATCAAAGAAGATGGATAATATTATTCAGCCAAGAACGAGATACTTCACATACGAGAGGATAGGAAAAAAGAAACCAACTACAAGAAGGCCAGTATTTCATAATGGCAAAATCGTCATATAAGACATTAGAACTAAATTTCTCATGAGAAATAAGGACTTTACATGCCTTTATAACATAAAATAAAAGTGAAACATAAATGTAAAGTAACATGATGTAACAGATGATGATCGTGTGGTGCTTTGCATCATTTAAGCATTTACAAGAGACGGTAGAAAATACATTAATAAGACATGATAAACTAATGTGAAACTAGGAGTAATCCAAAGCTGTTAAGGATGAAACTTATTCAAAAATATTCAAGCAACATAGAATTAACACCTCAGGCAACACCTAAAAAATAAATAAATAGAAAATGAAGATTCATAAAGCCAACCCCAAAATAGGTAGCATTAGTCTAATGATAAGGATGATGATTAGAATAATAAGTACATGAACTACAACTAACAATGCTGCTTGAATAAATTTTGATTTTTGAGCAGCATCCGCATCCTTTGTGACCAGGACCATCCAACAACAACATCAAGCCTTTGCCCCACTACGTGGGGTAGGCTACATGAATCTTTTTTCTCCATTGTGTCTAGTTAAAAGTCAAATTCTCGTTTAAATCTAACAAGGAAAGATCATTTCTAATATTCTCTATCCAAGTCATTTTAGGTCTACCTCTACCTTTCTTAACATAAGTCAAATTTAATACCTCTACTTTCCTAACCAGGTCATCGGAAGGCCGCCGTTTTATGTGACTGTGACCAGAACCATCCATGTAGCGAAAAATGTTTAGAAGACAAAACTTTAAAAAAACAAAAATTAACAGCATTTAGCATCTTCTCTTCTTGGGAGGGTATATTATAACTAATATGCAAGAGGGTTCATTTACAGCTTGCAGTTGACAAATATTCTTGCTAAATTTCATGTTCCATAACTAGTACTCATCCATATTAGTTTGGCAACTCTACACTGTAAATACCAACAAATATGGCCTCACAACAAGACATTAAAGCAACATGAGGAACATATTGATAAAGGACAGACCTTTCTCCATATGTCAAAATCTGCCGCCCAATGTCTTCTGATGCTACCATCTGCAATACGCATGACAATAAGTCCCTAAAGCTGATCGAGAAGCATTTCTTTGAAACACTTTGAAAGTTGAAAATACATAATGAAATACAAACCCTGGACTCCAGGTTCATCAAAACTGCCGACTTAGTTGCCTGTTTAGCACGATCTAATTCAATTTGACTAACTGGCAAAGAAAGCAATAGCATTTAGCAAAAGCTCCGGATGCATTAAAATGAAATAATAAGATGGAAGCATCACCTAACCTTGTCCAGGAGTCGCAACAGCTAGCAATTCCCGGGCTGCTAAGTCTACAGCTTTTGAAACGAAATCTGAACTCTGATTTAGCATTAAAATTCAAAATTAAGTATTGTGCAAAGTGCGGATTAGAGGATGCCAAGGTTTATACAAAAGCATTTAAAGTTTACTACAAAAAGGAATACAGGAACTTCTATAATATACCTAAATCAGAAAACAATTACAAACAATGAATGCCTCTATGACCTCAATTTTACCAGGATAATTTTGATATCGCTGTTATGAATATGATAAAGAAAAGCTTTTAAGACCATATGTCTCAAACTTTTGAGGCTGGAATACACCATGACAAAATATGTTAAGGGCATGACAAAATATATTAAGGGCATGACAAAGCTCAGGCATATGCATTAAGACACTAGTTTCTTGGCTCCACAACTGCATAGTTAGGAAAGTCACTTGAAAGGCAAAAGGCACTAGATCAGGTACTTCAAAAAATACAACTGTTAGTGCTGTAAAAAGTGCTCTTTTACACCAGAGGAACTAACAGTAGTATTTTTAGAAGAGCGCAAATACACACATTTCAATACCACTGCTCAATGCCCAGGCGCTACGTGTCACCATAGGTGCTCATCCGAGTGAAGTGGATTACTATGAAAAAAAAAATTATTGTAGGAATCTCAAATCCTACTTCCTCTCCAAATAAGGCTTGTGTCTTGATTCAATGTATTATCTTAATGTGTTGGTCGTGTTAACTGTCTTGATATCTATAAATAGGGTGAATAGTATTGATTCTCTCCATATCTTATAGGTGAATTCCCTAAGTTAAATGCTGTGCAATGCTTTCAATACCTAGCAAAATTGACTGCATGTATCATGACTTGAAGGCTGAGTATGAATAAAATAAGCAATGTTTTCCACTGTTTTCCTACTCTACCTACAGTATTTTCCATCTTGAATCATCTTTGGTTTCATGGTATTAGAACCAAGGTCTATTTGAGATAGAAAGATCTACAAAATAGCTTTAACGGGTAAACGTAGGGATGAGTTCGGAGGTTTCTTCAACAAACTCAGCTTGTTCATAAAAGTTCACCTACTGCAACTCATTCAACTTTTTCCTATGGCGTGGCTTTTTGGTTGGCTGTAAAAGGAATGCAGTGCAAAAAAGAATACTTTGATGTTCTTTGGATGAGTGACAAATAAATGCATGATAAATGTTTTTTCTTGTTTGGTTTGAAGTAAAATGAAAGTAGTGTAGAATCTATTTGAAGTAAAATAAAAGTAATGTAAAACCTAAAAAAGATAGCAGCAGTGAGCAACATTGTTGGTGGAGGGTGGTGTCGGCCGATGGCTGTGGCAGTGGATGGCGGGGGTGCTGGTCAGAGAGGGTGTCAACGGTCTTGGTCGGCGCAGGTGGTGGCAATAGCCGGTAGTGGGTGGTGGGGTGGCCAACAGTGGGTGATAGCAATGGAGGTGGCCGACAACAGGCGATGATGGTGGCTAATAGGGGGTGGCAGCAAATGTGGCCAGATGGTGGACAATGTGGATGGTGGTTGCGGCCGGAGGTGGGTGACAATGGTGGTGGTTGGCGAGGGTGGCGGCGGTGGCTGGCGGCGGTGGCTGGTGGTGATAAACTGCGTAGGTTGACGGTGATGACAAGCGATGACGGATAGTGGTGGGGGCTGATGGCGAGCAACGACAATGACGATGAAATTATGGAGTATTTGAAAATTGCTCAAATCTAAGGAGTTCTGAATACACCAAAAATGAACTAGCATGTGAATTTCAAATGTACCAAAAATTTACACTACATTTGTTTTACTTCAAATCAAACACCAATATTCTTAAAACTCCTGCATTTGGAATACTTGACACCCCTTTTACTTGAAACCAAATAGTCCGTCTCTAAATCTATTCTTCAAAATACAATCATAATTTTGAATCATCAAAATTTTCTTTAATGGTGTCGTTATGTGTTTTATTGGTAATAAGCGTCTTGGCAATGTTGATGGTTCAACAAAGAAATCTAATACTAGCAATCATTCTCTTCAAACTTGGGATGCACAAAACTCAATGGTGATGGCACGGATTGTGAACTCAATGGAGATGGATATCAAAGAGTCTTAGATCTATTATTCCACTCTTAATAAAATGTGCAATGCATTAAGGATAAAATTGATAATGGATTTCTCACAACAATAACTGGAACTAGAGCGGTACAAATCAATCAAAACATTAAAATTTACACCAAAACTTTACACTGCATTTGTTTTACATCAAATCAAACACCAATATTCTTAAAACTCCTGCATTTGGAATACTTTACACCCCTTTTACTTGAAACCAAACATTCCCTAAATTTATTCTCTCCAAAATACAATCATAATTTTGAATCACCATAATTTTCTTTAATGGTGTCGTTATGTGTTTTATTTGTAATAAGCATCTTGGCTATGTTGATGGTTCAACAAAGAAATTTAATACTAGCAATCATTCACTTCAAACTTGGGATGCACAAAACTCGATGGTGATGGCACGGATTGTGAACTCAATGGAGATGGACATCAAAGAGTCTTAGATCTATTATTCCACTGTTAATAAAATGTGCAATGCATTAAGGAGAAAATTGATAATGGATTTCTCACAACAATAACTGGAACTGGAGCTGTACAAATCAATCAAAACATTTAAATTCACTCTGTTTTGCATATTCTAAATTTAATATGCAATCTTCTCAATATTAGTATGTTGACAAAACATTTAAAGTGTAGTACTCATTTTTCAAGCCTCCTCGTTTGTTTTAGGACCTGACTTCTGGAATAACATTGGGAATGCTAAAAAAGTGAGGGACTTCACCATTTTGAAATAAACACTAACTAAATAAACAATCTGAAAATGCAAGTTGTGAGTTTCCTTCTGGTGAACAAAAAAAATGTAATGGAATCGTAGGCTTGGCCATCCAAGATTTTCATGTTTACTAACTTTGTTCCTATCATTTTTTATAACAGAGACTCCTTTAAACTGAAATTTGTCAACTACGCAAGCAAACATTCTACTCTTCTGATAAGCCGCCGGCCCAGGAGGGGCCGGCTAGACCGGTCCAGGTCTATTCACGCCGGAACAGACCAAGCAAGGGGGCGGGAATCATGGGTGGGCCAAACTTGTATTAATTGCTATTAGGATGAAAAATTTGAATTTGGGGGGCTGTTTTAGGAAGTTTATTATTGTCCTTTATAATTAATTTGTTTAATTAGGAGATTGGAGGGGAAATTGGGGATCATCTTGAATTTGAATGACAATTTGAGATCTAGGGTTTCTTGTGCTTTGGGCTCTTGGCGATTGCCGGAGATTGGAGAGTTGTTCTTCCTTTCGGATTGAAGAACAAGTGTATCTTAGCTAATTTACTTCATCGTCTAGTGAAATCCAAGTTTCTTCTTGAGTTTTCTCTCACATTTCCTTGTGATTTTGCTGTTTTTCTGCTGTGGACAGCAGATTTACTGCTGTTTGCTCTTCGTTTGGTGTTAGGATTGCTGAGAACTCAAGTTTACCCTTAGGGTTACTTGCGAACTCAAGTATTTCCTATCAAATTGGTATCAGAGCGTCGATTTGGGACCGTTGGCGGCTGGATTTCTTAAATTTCAGCGGGAGATTTGTCTCAATCGGAAGAAGATTTCTCAAGTTCTAAGAAGATACTATGGCCGGAAGAAAAGTTGAGGTCTTGGGAGGAGAGCTAGGGAAATTGAAGACGGTTTCGAAGATAAAATCTCAGAATTTCAAAATCAATTTTCATCAATCTATGAGAAGATGGATGGAAGATTTGCCGCGCTAGAAGAATTAATGAAAAAAATGATGGAAGAAAAACAAAAACCGGCATCATCTGAAACCGTCGGCGGCCATGGAAGGGGAGGAAACCCTAACCTGTTTGGGGGTAGGGAAAATCCGGAAGTGGAAGTTTTAGAGGGAGATGATGGAATGCCTCCGCTAGAACCGCTTTCAAGGGAGGAGTTGAGCAGGGGATACAAGAAACGAGAGGCTGAATTTGTCGGCAGAAGGGAAGAGTTCCATCGCCGAGGTGCTGAATTCGAAAGAATCCAGCGTCGAGGTGCTGATTTTAAAGGGGGGAGGGAGGAATTCCATCGCCGAGGTACTGAATTCATCGAGGAGCTGATTTTGAGGGAAGAATGGAGAAATTTCATCGTCGATGTGCTGAATTTGAAGGAATTCAACATCGAGATGATGATTTCGAAGAAGAAGGGGGGAGTATGAAGAGGGGTTCGAGTATAATCGTTGGAGGGACGATCGGGACACCTGGGGAGCTCTTCCCCATCGAGGGATGGGAGGTTATGGAGGATATCGGGGAAATGGAGGAGATCCAAGGGTGAGGAAGCTTAAGATGCCCGTCTTTGAGGGCGAGGACGGTCATGGGTGGATCTATAAGGTGGAGCGATATTTTGCTGTCAATGGGCTGACGGAGGAGAAGAAATTGACAGCGGCGAGGATGTGCTTGGAGGGAAAAGCCTTAGCCTGGTATCAGTGGCGTGACAGGAGGGAGCCCATTCGCAGCTGGAGAGAGTTCAAGGATTGTTATTGGAGCGTTTCCGAGCCAATGATGGAGGAGACTTCTATGAGCAATTCTTTGCTCTGACTCAAGAGGGGACCGTGGCAGACTACCGGGACAAGTTCAAGTACTTGGCTAGCAGATTGGATCACATTTCAGAGTCAGCCTTGGAAGGGAACTTCATGAAAGGGCTGAAACTGGAGACTTCATGAAAGGGCTGAAACTGGAGACTTCATGAAAGGGCTGAAACTGGAGATCCGAACAACAGTCAGGGTGCTGGAGCCGAGGAACCTTGGAAAGGCTATGGAGCTGGCGCAGTTGGTGGAAGATCAGAAGAAATCATAGAGGGGAGCTCGAGGGAACTATTCTGGAGGATTATACAAGATGACTACCACCTTCTTACCATCAAAAGGGGGGGCACCAGGTGGTCAGAAGGAAGTATCCAGGGAAAAGGCTGGAAGGGGGAATGGGGGACAGTTCAAAAAGCTGACGGAAAAAGAAATACAGGATAAGAGAGCGAAAT